AATATGAAATTTAATTGTAATGAAAATACCCACAAATGTTAACTATATTGCAGCAGGGTTTGAAAAAACACGGTTATTTTAGAAAAAAACCCAACCCGCCTGGGTTTTGTAGAAAAAAACCAGGGGAAAATTGGGTTCTATTTGAAAAACCCCGGGGGAAATTGTTTTTTTTTCATTTAGTGCTCTTAAACTCTAAGTTTTACTGTGTAAATATTTTTATTAAAAAGTGTTGTATAAGTTTGAAAATTGAAGTAAATCAAAAAGTTATTTTAATTTTGTTACATGTATTTCATATTAAGTTTAAATAACGCATTATCACTAAAACATATTTGAATCTTCCCTATTGTTAAGTGCATAACGTTTCACAATTTTTATCTCGAGCATTATAAAATATAAATGCAGCAATAAAAAAGGAACAAGTTTATTAACCTTTTTGTTTTCACACACATTTATTTACTATATTTATTAAAAATATATACATACATATTACCTATTATAAAATTATAATCAGTAAATATTTATAATCATTAAAACCTAAAATTTCATCTGACTTTTGACTTTAATAAATACTGAAATAAATATTTAATGGTCTTCCATGTTTTTATAATAAGATTAAGAGAAAGTGAAATTTAAATTATATACAATTATAAAGAGTATCAGTTACTTGTCCCACTTTTTAAAAAAATAATTAACCCTAGGAAAATGATTTCATTTTTCGATAAATAATTTTAAAAAGTTCTCTTAGAAAAAGTTTTAGCTTATTTTTTTAAAGCCAGAAAAATAAAACAAATTTCTAATTTTTTTAAGCACAGGAATTAAAAATAATAACCTGTTTATTAATATATAAAGCATGCAACTATATTTGAAAAATTGATCTTTTCAGACTATAATATTTAAACTTCTATTTGATTTAATTTCATTAAAATATTACTTTTTGAAAAAACCCACTTAAAGTTTTCAGTTGTACTATAAAATTATAGATTCGAGTTTCCTCTACTTTACAAATAATTAAAAACTTATTCATATAAATCATGCAACTCTATTTGGCAAATTTATGCTGCACAATAAATTAATCAATACATTTTAATAATTTTTTTTTTTTTTTAAAAAACCCACTTGTCGTTCCAAGGGTTTTTTTTCAAGGTGGGCCCAGCCAATAAAACCCGCTCGGGTTTTTCAAAGTGGGCCCACTTGGCGAACCCTGTATTGTAGTCTATTAATTTAACTAAAAGTATAAAAAATAATAACTATTTTGTTAATTAAAAACCAATTTAATTCATTCTTTAACCTAACGTGCTAACATACAAACTGCAAATAAATGTTTAAAAGTGACTATAAAAGAATAAAAAAAACTTATTTGTGATATGTAAAACGTCCTCCTTTTATGAATTTTTCTTCACATCAGTATACACAGCAGTATTCGACAATTTTTATTGAATTTTATTGTTCAAAACAAAGCTTAGCAATCCACCGCCATAGTAAAACTATAGGGATAGGGTCTACTGGAGAGAAAATCGTCCCGGAATCACGTGACAATGTTCTTTGCAACAAGGGAGGAGGGACTGGTTCTCTCTATTAAAATCTCTCTTCTTAGATAACAAGCTCACTACAGGGACAATTTCATCGCTATTATGAACCCAAGTCAAAATTCTTGATGCTCTCATCAAAATATTTTGATGGTTTATGTTGGTCTCAGTGCTGTTCATGATGGTCCAGCATCATTTGATGGTCACATCCAACATTTTCCATTACGCGTTCATGGTTTTTGACATTCCAACAAACTTCCATCATTCCATGATGGAAAATGCTACTTTAATACTATGAAGGTTAACCATCAAGAGAAGTTTGACTGAACAACAACTCATGATGATCCGTGATGGTTCCAATTATACATCTCCTTGATGGTTTAATGGGAATTGTTGTTGGTTCTCAGGAATATACCATAAGAAAATTTGTGATGGTTCAACATGAACAAACTATTAAAACAGGTTGTTATTCTTCTTATGAACCATCTTATGGTTATTCTTATGAACCATCTTACGGTTATTCTTCTTATGGACTATCATAAATCAGTCGGAATTCCTACATTGAGATCATGGTTGTTCATGATCGTTCCAACATTTGATTTCTGAGACACTATGATGGAAATTTGTGATGGTTCAACATGAACAAACTATTAAAACAGGTTGTTATTCTTCTTATGAACCATCTTATGGTTATTCTTATGGACCATCTTACGGTTATTCTTCTTATGGACTATCATAAATCAGTCGGAATTCCTACATTGAGATCATGGTTGTTCATGATCGTTCCAACATTTGATTTCTGAGACACTATGATGGAAATTTATGATGGTTCAACATGAACAAACTATTAAAACAGGTTGTTATTCTACTTATGAACCATCTTATGGTTATTCTTAAGGACCATCTTACGGTTATTCTTCTTATGGACTATCATAAATCAGTCCAAATTCCTACATTGAGATCATGGTTGTTCATGATCGTTCCAAGATTTGATTTCTGAGACACTATTGATGGAAATTTGTGATGGTTCAACATGAACAAACTATTAAAACAGGTTGTTATTCTTCTTATGGACCATCTTACGGTTATTCTTCTTATGGACCATCATAAATCAGTTGGAATTCCTGCATTGGGATGGTGGTGGTTCATGATAGTTCCAACATTTGATTTTTAAGATACTATGATGGAAATTCAAAATGGTTCAGCATGAACAAACCATCAAAGCAAGTTGCTATTATGTTGGACCATCATAAATCAGTCCGAATTCTTCATTGAGGTGATGGTTACTTATGTTGGTTACCATCAAAAAATATAATGGTAGATGATGGAAATATTGATGGTCACCATCAAGATTATGTTGGTCCATCAATGAAAATCAAAAATTTTGACTTGGGAATTACCGTAATAACAGAGACTGTAATTGACAACTTTTCCATCGACTTATTTTTTCGATCCTAATATTCATTCAATTTTTGTTTTATAGCATTTAATAATTTTTTTTTCCATTTTAGAAAACAAAAGGAAGAGAAAAGAAAAAGATGGCCACAGTTATAGTAAGCACATTACAAAATATCTATTTTTTCTCCTCTTCTCGAATATATTTTTTTAATATAAATACGAGTCATGATTATTTCTGTTGTTTCCAAGTGTCTTAGCTAAGGATGGTGTTTTCAATAAACAACAAAAATCTTGAGCTTTTGATCTGCTCTACTTCCGGTTAGAAAGTATACAGCTGCTTACTACAGCTTATTCTGCGATTGTATAGATTCAAATAGATAATTTTGTTTTTAATAAAGTAAGTAATTTCTGATTTCAAATCTGCTGTGTTTCATAAGATATTAATGGTATTAATTAATTCTGGTGAGTTTAAAATGAAAATTTGTTTTAGTTATTTAAATATGTTTTGTTAAAAAAGGTGACATGGTTGCTAGATTTAGAAAGAATTCGCTTTTTTGGCAGTCCCGATTTGGCTTCTTTTAATTGTTTATTACTGTTCTTGTTGCACCAGCTTACGTTAGTGTTAGCATATTATTCGAAAGGCGAGATCAAGTTTATTTTACAAATTATCATTTAAAATTAAATTTCGAAGTTGGTTTATTGTTGACGAGATATGAAGTGTTTCATAACGATTCTTTTTTTCTTTTTTTTGAAATGACTATTCTTACGTCTTGAAAAGACAAGTTTTCTTCAAATGATAATTCTCTTTCTTTTAAACACAAATCTATATTATATGAAACGCTAATACGTATGTATCAATAAAACCGATGATATTTCTTTTCTCGCGTTGGCAATAGTTTTCATTTTTAATTGATGGGCTTCGGCGCGCAAGAGCACGTAGTGAGCATCATATGGCTAATCTATATTATATAAAACGCTAATACGTTTTAATTGATAGGCTGCTCGATTCAACATCTACAGGACTGGAGTCGAGTAAAAGACCTCGTAAGCATCCAAATAATCAATATGCTCAAAATTCTTGCAAATCGTACTTTCAGTGGATCCCCTCTCACGTCAACGTCCCTGGTAACGAAGTTGCGGATATCCTGGCTAAAAGAGGCTGCTCTGAGATGGCAACTACCGACTATGACCTCACTTTTACAGAGATTTTCTCAGTGATGAAAAATAGAGAACGACAGGTCTAGCTCTCCCCTCCTGCCCATCCCTGGTTCTGTAGGAAAAGACCAGGATGTGCATTGGATCTTGAGGCTGACAGACAGGCTCAAACGGCCGCCTCAAGATTTATCAGTGGTCACCTCAAATGCATGACCTTTGAATGCGGCCGCAAAGTCTTTCCAACGTGCACCAAGTGCCATCTGATGCCGGCCTCCCCCGATCATATCCTCGACTGCTGGGGGCTCACTCTTGCGGATATCCGTGATAGCCCACTTCTGGTGCTTGATTTTGCTAGGGNCCTACATTGAGATCATGGTTGTTCATGATCGTTCCAACATTTGATTTCTGAGACACTATTGATGGAAATTTGTGATGGTTCAACATGAACAAACTATTAAAACAGGTTGTTATTCTTCTTATGGACCATCTTACGGTTATTCTTCTTATGGACCATCATAAATCAGTTGGAATTCCTGCATTGGGATGGTGGTGGTTCATGATAGTTCCAACATTTGATTTTTAAGATACTATGATGGAAATTCAAAATGGTTCAGCATGAACAAACCATCAAAGCAAGTTGCTATTATGTTGGACCATCATAAATCAGTCCGAGTTCTTCATAGAGGTGATGGTTACTTATGTTGGTTACCATCAAAAAATATAATGATAGATGATGGAAATATTGATGGTCACCATCAAGATTATGTTGGTCCATCAATGAAAATCTAAAATTTTGACTTGGGAATTATCGTAATAACAGAGACTGTGATTGACAACTTTTCCATCGACTTATTCTTTCGATCCTAATATTCATTCAATTTTTGTTTTATAGCATTTAATAATTTTTTTTTTTCATTTTAGAAAACAAAAGGAAAAAGAAAAGAAAAAGATGGCCACAGTTATAGTAAGCACATTACAAAATATCTATTTTTTTTTTCCTCTTCTCGAATATATTTTTTTAATATAAATACGAGTCATGATTATTTCTGTTGTTTCCAAGTGTCTTAGCTATGGGTGGTGTTTTCAATAAACAACAACAATCTTGAGCTTTTGATCTGCTCTACTTCCGGTTAGAAAGTATGCAGCTGCTTACTATAGCTTATTCTGCGATTGGATAGATTCAAATAGATAATTTTGTTTTTAATAAAATAAGTAATTTCTGATTTCAAATCTGCTGTGTTTCATAAAATATTAATGGTATTAATTAATTCTGGTGAGCTTAAAGTGAAAATTTGTTTTAGTTATTTAAATATGTTTTGTTAAAAAAGGTGACATGGTATCTAGATTTAGAAAGAATTCGCTTTTTTGGCAGTCCCGATTTGGCTTCTTTCAATTGTTTATTACTGTTCTTGTTGCACCAGCTTACGTTAGTGTTAGCATATTATTCGAAAGGCGAGATCAAGTTTATTTTACAAATTATCATTTAAAATTAAATTTCGAAGTTGGTTTATTGTTGACGAGGTATGAAGTGCTTCATAACGATTCTTTTCTCTCTTTTTCTTTTTCTTTTTTTTTTTTTTTTAATGACTATTCTTACGTCTTGAAAAGACAAGTTTTCTTCAAATGACAATTCTCTTTCTTTTAAACACAAATCTATATTATATAAAACGCTAATACGTATGTATCAATAAAACCGATGATATTTCTTTTCTCGCGTTGGCAACAGTTTTCATTTTTAATTGATAGGCTTCGGCGCGCAAGAGCACGTAGTGAGCATCGTATGGCTAATCTATATTATATAAAACGCTAATACGTTTTAATTGATAGGCTTCGAAACGCAAGAGCATGTAGTGAGCATCATATGTCTAATCGGGTGATTTTTCACCGAATTATCAAAACAATTCTCACAAAATTATCTTCATCGAAGCCGATGCTTTACATCCGGTGTTTAGTACTATTTCATATTGTTTTACAACACATGGTTTTAGCCCTCTGGTGGGAAAGACTTTAAAACAAAACTTACAACAGTTACTTTTCTCAACAACTGAAATTTAGAATAGTGTGATTAAGAAAAATATGTGAACTGTTTGCAATTTCAAATTAATATTGAAATGCACAGGTTTAGAATTTTCTACAGTGAAAAGTTTTCGGAACTTCAGTGTTCAAAAAAGTATACAAAAGCTAGACGTTAAGAACGTAACCAATGAGCGAGCAAAGCGAGCATCGGATTGCGAAGCAATTCGAAATGAACTGCCAAAGCAGTTCCGGGGGTTGGCGAGCGCCAGCGAACAGGGGGCGAAGCCTCCTAGTAATAAATAAAATATCAACTACACGTATACAAAAAAATACAAGTCAAGAGAGTCTCAAAACACATTGATAACGTTGCGAGCCAAATGGCTTCAAAATGCACCGGAATGAGTAACCCGGAAGTATAGACAGTAAAGAGCTTGCAGCGCACCCATCCATTAAACTACATCTGCAACTTTTGCTAAAATATTTAACTTATTTTCTTTTTTTGAATAAATATTAAAAGCTAATGAGCTCAGAACATTAACTGCAAAGATGTTGTGGATATCATTTAGACATTGCTATCAGGTGATTGCAAAAGCTCGTGCCAAAATTTGATTTACATAAAAAATACATATATTGCTTATTTTTATATAACTTTAAGCTAAGTAATTTAAAATCACGAAATTCGAACGAAATCTGTTCTGTTGCTGTCGCTGCTTAAGGGGCAATAACTCTCCAAAGGAAGAGGCGGAGCAGTTGCATCATTACTGCCAGGTTTTTCGGTCGATAGACGACTGGTGGCTGAGTGGTAACTCTTCGCCCTCTCATTCCACAGGTCCCCTGGGTTCGATCCTCGGACCGGGCAAGGTTGATTTAGTCTTTCATCGTCGATAAAATGAGTACCAAACATACTTGTGGACTAAACACTAGGGATTGAGCGTATGGCTGACCACCCAACCGGAACATCTGCTCCTGTTCCCCAGAGCCCAAGATCAAGAAAACTGAGATGTGCATAGTAGGCCTTGGCCCTCTGTGGGCTGTTGAGCCACTGAGTTTGTTTAGACTCAGACTGTATAGAGATGAATGAAAATAGAAGACTAGGTGGGGATCCAATTTTATTCAACATCGCTTCTTTATTTCAACATTATTTTTTATTATCAAAGCGGATATTATAAATAATTCGGATATTCACCAAAGCGACTATGTGATTGATGACATTCACCGGTGAAAGTCGACATTCTCTTGATTTCGATCATTCACGGTAACATATATATAAAAGTAATAACCAAATTAATTAAATTGCATAATGCTTAGATTTAACAAGTCGGGACACCAACTTCTAATACGATTAAGCATGGAATGTACGTCGATTCGGGTATTCGAGCTCAAACAAGGTTAACGGTTACAGTAAAAAAGTGCTAGGTGCAAGGCACCAACAGAAAAGAAATTTACGAAAATTAGGTTATAGCCGAAAAGTTGAAAACTGTGGGTATTGTGATAGCCTCATCACTGATAGTTTCTGTACATCTTGTTTTTAAGTTGTGCATCGAGAAAGGATTAGTTATTTAAAAAGAAAGCTGTGCAGTTCACTCCGAGAGTTCGACTCAACGTATACTTGTTTAAAATTTTCAAAATTGAAGAAATTTATTTCAACAAAATATCGTTGTACAAAATATTTACAATGCGCAGAAAATATTATGGATACTTGACAGTGTACAGCTAAGCACAGGTGACGCCGGGGGTTCAAATTCGCCGTAGGACTTGCGAGTCACTACTTCCGACTAATTTTTACGCCTAAAGCTTGAAAAAAAAGCGTCATCCAATATTATTATACTTGTAGTGTTTTCAATGTAACGTAGTCTTTCAATTCAACTTTCAGCGAAAGGAAACAACAAATGAATCCGAAAGACTCCGCAAGCTTGCTATGATGCTTACCCAAAATATAGCAAACAACGCTATTTTACATAAATATAGTCAAAAAAGGAAGAACACTCAAAACACCTCTAGCAGCAAAATGACATGGGCCCTCATTGGTCCAATATTCATAAATCTTGGCTCAATAAGTGTTCAAGGAGCCTTTTGAGCTTTCAGATTCACTCGACAGTTCAGATTCATTATTCAGCCAATATCGACCCTATATTGGTCGATATTGGATACATATGTAACATAATTAATCTTTTTATGTTAGTGCTTTACTATAAAACTTCATCCTAATTAATTATTCCAAATCGAAACACTTTCTCATACTTCAAAAAAGCCACATTCTGTTCTTAAATCTATTTTTGGCTCAAGTATGCATAATTAAATGTAAAGACATTTTTCCCCTTTACACTTTGTGAGAATCACACGACCTATTTAACAAACCAATTGTAAGTACTAAGACTTCCCTTTATCCTTAAAATATAACAAAATAGAGGGAAATTCATTTGCTACTTTCCCTAGGATAAATACTTAAGCACGCAGTTTTGGAGTGCGAATTTGAGCTCCGCCATTGATAGAAAATGTTTTGACTGTACTGTTTGAAGCTAAATAAAATATTTTTGCCTTCCAACTGCTATCTGCGTGGCCCAACAACACTCACCATGACTGCCACCCTTTCATATATATATATATATAAATGCCGATATTGGCCCTATATGGAACCAATATTAAAAAATCTATAGATTCCTATTTTGGTCCCTTGGTGGATGTTCATGTAGGACCCCTATTGAGTCAATTTTGAGTCCAACTGGGACCAAGATAAAACTGTTGCTAGTGACTTTATTTATGGTGTGATATAAATATTGTTATAGGCTCACCTGTTGGAATTTATAAATCACAGAAAACTCCTAGAAATGGTAAAATTATGTGTAAATTTAATCACAAGTCACAATAATAAGACTTTCTAGAATATTAAGCCTGTTCACACATCGTCTCGTAAGTATAGCATAAGCGGAGGGATACACAGGAAGTTTTTTTAAATTTCTTCCCGTTTTACAAAGTTTGTTATTGTTTACATTCACTCCACCATGCATTAGAAATGCGTTGGGGATCACACCCACACTCGTACTTGTATTAACGTGCATCGTATTATAGGAAAATGGTTTAGTGAGTATTCAGAAACTATTATAAATGATATAATGCATGAATTTGCACATCTATTTAATTAAATATTCAATTATTGAAAAAAAAAATTTTGGAATTTATGAAAAGATAATTTATTTCAATTTATTTATTATTCAATTAAATCAACAGTTCGATAAACTAGTCATAATCTCATAAACGTTCAAAAGTGATAAGTTATAATTTAAATTATTATCATAACATTCATTTGAGTAATATTAACTAAAATCAAAGCGAAATAATTTTCATAAAACCTCTTTTTTTCTTTCAAGTAGGTAAGTAGGTACTTCATTAACGTCACACTAGAGCTGTATAATGGGCTATTGGCGACGGTCTGGGAAACATCCCTGAGGATGATCCGAAGACATGTCATCACAATTTTGATCCAATGCAGAGGGGATGGCTCGCCTGATTTGGCAGCCAAACGACCAGCGCACGAAGTCGAGCACTTTACGGCAGAACAGTTCAACGAGGACCAATACCGCTCACCCTTGGTTCCTACGCAGGCTGGTCAAAGTGGTCACGCACCCGCACACTAACGGCAGCCAGTGATGCTTGACTTCTGTGTTCTACTAGGAGCCGCGTCTTTACGAACAGTCCACTGCGGGACTTTCTGCAACCGAAGGCCTTTCTTCAAATATTCCTCGACGTACAGCCCTAATTTAAAAGTTTAAAATGGTTCCAAAAATGTTACAATTTCGATCATTATGAAAAGCCACTTATTGCATGTCTTTGCATAAACGTGTTTTAAAATGAAGCTCAATTTCTTTCATTTCAATTCGATTTAAATAGGACGAAATATGAGGGGGAAAAATTTATTCCGCTCTCCTGATTAAATTATTATACAGTACAGAACCCGTTATCCGGAAATCAGAAAACCGGAAGACCAAAAACCGAAACGAAATTCGATAAATTTTCCCGCCAATTTTTTTTAAAAAAAATGTTTTTTTCCTCATAAGATTTTAGGATTTTTCTTTCTTTTTTGAAAGATCTTTTCTTTTTTGAAGACCTTACCATCATTTTGGAAATAATCATTAGTGTATTACTCCATTGTTTTTTCCTTTTTTTAAGATTATTTCCAAAAAAAATTATTTTTTTAGTTGGGATTTACAATAAGAAAACGGCTTTTTGTAGCGATTCAGAAAACCGGAAAAATCAGTTATCCGGAATAGCGATGGTCCCGATCGTTCCGGATAATCGGTTCCCTACTGTATGACCATAAGTAAAGGGAGAGTTAATATTTTCGAGGGTGAGATTGATTGTGAAAATAATCGAATGTTTTTTTTTCAGTTTCACCACCCTTTTGATTCAGAGAGTGATGCAGTGGCTCTTAAAGATGCAATATCCTCTTTAGGTAAGATTTAAAATTGCTTCAGATCTGATTACATTTACAATGAAGTGTCTAGATTGAACTAAGTGTGGACTGTTCCACCACTTTGAGAACAGTGTATCACTGAAATTTCGAATTAACGTTTGTATACAAGATTGAAGTAAGAATAGATATTTCCAGTAATAAAAAAAAGTGCCTTTAGAACTAATGTGCACTAACTAAGTTTAATAATGTCCGATTCTTAAGCCTACCAATGCTAGACATTCTTGTATCTCCAATTGTACAAGAGATGGAAACGATAATTCCTGATTTACGACTAAGCCACAACAAATGGTGATAACTTTGTATCACTTTATAAACTCTGATCAATAGTTATCATGTTATGATGCCAAGATCTATTCTTAAGAATATAGATATAACGGTACTTTTTGGTTAGCCTGACACAATTAAACCGTCGCCAAAAATGTAGACCTTCGTCAATTTTTAAAAAATATTTTCTGTTCATTTTTTAAACACACATACTAAATTAAATTTAAAAAAAAAAATAGATGACTTAGTTGACATACGCCCGGTTAACCGAAAAGTACCGATAAAACCTAGAGACTATTTTTGTTTATAGTCTAGGCGTAGCCATAGTCTAGGCACTACAACATAAAAGTTTTCATTGCTACAGCTGTAAACTTCATGGTGTCTTAACACGATAGTTGTAATTTAGACAAGTTCTTTTTATAACAATGGACTATAATTTAGGCACTTTTTTAGAACTATAATTTTTAACCTAAATGTCTTTTTTGTTTTACAACAAAAGTTGATTGCCTACACATAATTTTATGACGATAGTTATATTCTAGACACAATCTTTCTATAAAAAGATGTATTTTTTATGATAACCTAGATTTAATTTTGGTTAGTAGTTCTAAAAATAGCTGTATATCCTTTCTCTTTTAAATGAATATGCATTTTTATAGGCGAGAGAGATGATGCTCTTATTCAAATCTTGGGCAACCGAACTAACGAGCAAAGAAAAAGGATTATGGAAACATACAAAATCATGTTTGATCAGGTATAAAACGTGTTTATTCTTTTAATTTATGAACACTTGAAGTTAAAGCAGCAAGGCTTATATAAAAAAGAAACATGTTCAACGCTAATCAACCGGATTCGACAGAAAATCACAACTCATTAAGCTTATTCGCCAGTGTTAAAAATCACATTTATTTTTAACCGTGAAAAAAATTTGTTGCGTTAAGTACAGAGAAGATTGGTTAGTTTAAAATAGCTAAGAATCACGCTAGGAGACCGAACTTTCATTATAAATGTATTTATTATGGTTTTATGAGAGTTAGATTCGATGAGTGTAAGATCTTATGTGCTTATGCGCACCATTTTTTTTTAAATAATGTACTTATTATATGTCAGTTAGTATATGGCAACGAGTAGAGTTTTGTGGTTGCCATGGTGATAGTTTTGGAATGTAAATAATATTTGAGTGAGTCTAAAAATTTTCTTTTTGGAATGGCGATGCTGTGATTTTGTTGTTGAGTTAATAAATCTTCCCTTTTATTGAACCTCGATGGAATGACCTCGATGGCTATTGGTCCTCGATGGAATGACCTCAAATAAATCTCAAAGGACTTCGAATCAAATAATTAAGAAAACTCTACTATTACGTTTATTATTACTATTTGTTTAGTTAATAAATCTTCCCTTTTATTAAACGTAATAAAAAAAAGAAGCCGAAAATTAAAATTGACCTCAAGTAAAACTCAAGGGACTTCGAATCAAATGAGTAGGAAAACTATACTATTGCGCTTAATAAAACCGAAGATTTGTTAACTCAACAACAAAATTACAGCATCGCCGTTCAAAAAAGAAAAATCTTATACTCACTCAAAAACCATCACCCCGGCAACCAGAAAACTCTACTCATTGCCATCTTCTAACTGGCTAATAAATTATTTTACCAAAAAATAAGGTGCGCATAAACACATAAAATCTTACAATGAGCCTGCAAGTAGCAGGGCCATCAAACCGTGATTGTGTAATTACGGTAGTTTAAAAAAGCACTTTTTTTTATTTTCTCGATTTGATATTTACAGTGGACGCACTGTGTCCTCAAGATATTGGAAAGCAAGGGAACTTTTAAGGCAATGACTTCGGTCTTCTTTCTTTGTTATCCTACGTACATTTGTATCCGTTATTTATTTCATCTTTCTATTTGTACTTTTTGCCTTGCCATTGGAAATAAAAAAATAAAATAAAATAAATAAAATAAATGAATAAATAAAAAACATTTACAGTAGTCGTTACAACTCATAGAGCATCTTGAGCTTAAATAACAAAAAAGAAATGTACATGAAATTGCTTTAAAAAAATCAATATTCAGACATCCTGCTTTATTTAAATGGATTTTCTCTGAGTTAACGGATAATTGGTGTCACCTTTTTCACTGGAAAATAGCCTGATAGTTTTTTCATTAGGGACTCATGATCCGAAAGACCAGATAGATTTCTCAGGAAGGTAACTGTACATCAAAGGTGCCCGAATACATAGGGTATATACTGGAATAGCAATACCGAAATTGCACAATTCAGCAATAAATGATTTCATATCAATCTCCTTTATTTTCTTTATCACATGAGCTCACACTAACTGGGGTGTGTAGCTTTAGAAATTATCCAAGCAAGATTTTAAAAAAAATCATCTTCAAATTATCCATTGCATTTATCATCAAAATTTTGAACTCATATCGTTATATTTATGGGGCAAACTATTCTCATAATTATAATAATAACCTCTCTCTCATCAACAAATCATACACCCATTTAAACACTCTGAATAGAATATACTAGGAAGTTTATCTAACGGGTATTTCCGTTTGTTCATAACTCGAAAGTTTTGGAAGCATTTAAAGCATAAAACTGAAAGATATCAAGTGGGGATGATTAGCTTATAGCTTGTGTAGAAAAATAATCTTTAGAGATTAAAATGGCAGTTAGCAAAGTAAAAGTGCTTATTTGAATAATGAGTAAAATAAGAGGCAGACGAAGAGAATGTGTGATCAAAAAACATCACGCCATCATCCGCATCCACAATACAGACAGGATCTTTTATAGAGTGATATCTAAATATTTAGTAAATATATAAAATATTTTGAGAGTCCGTTACCATTGAGAAGCCAGGAGATATAGAGTTTGCCTTCCAATGAGATAACCCGGATTCGAATCCCAACGATGGCTGGTAGATACGTATTCCACACCTGGCTCGCACTGACCACACTGCTGACGTAAAATATCCTCGATGGTAGACGAATCATGAGTTAGAGTCACCTTATCAGTCTAATTGTGGGAGGTTTTCATGGTTTTCTTGCTCATGTAATGCAAATGCGGAATAATGCAATCGAAAAGTCCTCCACGAAGGCAAAATTTCTTCCAATACTTGATCCAGGCAATTCCAAAGCAACGAAGTTGAACATCAGTAGTCGCAAACCTGAAATTGGGTCGGCTGTTCAACGACTGTAATTATTTTATAACCGTCGCATTATAAAAAAAGTAACTGGTATGCATTATAAAAAAAGGATAAATTAGGAGAAACATCATAGCCGGTATGCATTATGAAAAAAGTATTACGGTAATAGTTCTCAGAACAATCGGAAAGCTCTTAGCTGCTTGGTGTTCTGATGTGTGATAAATGTCTTAACAGTGGAGCAATTTTATTAAATTTTAAATGAAGCTATATTTTTTAATGTTGCTGTTTTGATAGTCATTTAACGCTTCTTAAGGCCTGGTTTCTTAGGACAGGACACCGTCAGCTGGAAATCAGCGCTAACCTCTGATTGGTCCATTTGTGAGTCTGATAGTATACGTCATCGAACGCTCATCTTGAACTACAATTGCCGTCCAACTCAACTGCAGTTGGATTACAACGTGACGTTAACCACAGAAGCAATGGCGGACAACATCCAACAGCACATTGAAATCAGCCAAGATTTTGATTTTGACATTAAACATAGCTTCTTCATTAAACATAGCACTCTTCATTTAGCTCAGCTATAATGTGTTTTTTCTTGGACAAAGTCATTATTTGTTCTCTAAAACACTGGTCGACAATAACAAAATCAATACAAATTCAAAATAAATATTTGTTTACGTTATTAACGCATGCGCAATGAGAGATAATGTCTGCGTTGGACCGACTGCTCACGCTGAGCTAACAAAAAAGTTTTTTTTTGGCATCAGCTCTACGTCAACTTTCCGCTGACGCCCAGATAAGGCGCTTGTCCGAAACCAGACCTTTAGATGAGTCATTTAAATCCAAATCTAAATCTAAGTAGAAAAAAGCATGAAATGTTACCTTAAAATTAAGGAACTCTTAAAGTTAATGTAAAGAGTTTACATAATCGGTATATTAACAAAGAATACCGAAAGAAAAAAGCAATACTTTTGCAATTAATTTAATCTGATGGCAACTTTTGTAATTAATTTAGTCTGCTGGCAACTTTTGTTACTAATTTAATCTGTTGTCAACTTTTTTTTAACTAATTTAATCTACTATCAACTTTGTTACGAATTTTGTCTGTTAACAGAGTTTTTATATAATTTACTCTGATGGCAACTTTTGTAGTCGATTTAATCTGTTGCCTACTCTAGTAACTAATTTAATCTGTTTACAACTTTTGTAACTAATTTTGTCTGATAGCAACTTTTGTATAGAATTTAATTTGTTTGGCAACTAATGTATCTAATGTAAATTGTCAAAAACTTTAGTGTCCAATTTAATCTTTGTAGAACTTTTGAAAGTAATTTAATCTGTTGACAACTAATCTATCTAACTTAATCTGTCAAAAACTTAGTATTTCATTTAATTTTTAGGGATTTTTTGTATCTAATTTCTTCTGTTGACAACTAACGTTAATGTTACTGCGAATGACCAAAATTGGTGGTTGTTGATTTCTGCCGGTGAATGTTAACAATCACATAGTTGCTTTGGTAAATGTCTAAAATATATATTAGGTCTAGTTAAGTGACACTGCCCTTTATGCCCTACATTGTTATTTTAAGGTCAAGCGCGACTGTCCAGTATGCATTTAACCGGTACTCCGGTAAAATTAATATAAAATCATATATAACAAATATTTCCGACATTTGTTGACATTCACCGGGGAAAGTCAACTCTCTCTTGATTTCACGGTAACATATCTAACATAATCTGTTAAAAACTTTAGTACCTAATTTCATCTTTTAAGTAACTTCTGAAACGAATTTAATTTATTGGTAACCTAAACCTTAATTATATCTTGAATATATACACATTTTTGAAAACAAACAAAACCTTTTACAGGATTTGAGAGATACTTTGCTGTATAAGTTAACAGGCAACTTCAAGAGGACAGTCGAACTACTGTTGATGCCGTTAGCTGAATATTATGCGAAGTTGTTGAGGAGAGCCATTTACGGACCCGGTAAAGACGAGGATCTCCTTCTTGAAATACTCTGCACAATTACAAACATTCAGATCCAGCAAATCAAAGAAATATACCAATGCAGTGAGTTATTTTGTTTTCATCTGCACAATTACAAACATTCAGATCCAGCAAATCAAAGAAATATACCAATGTAGTGAGTTATTTTATATTCATCTGCACAATTACAAACATTCAGATCCAGCAAATCAAAGAAATATATAGTTCGTTCACCAGGAGTTGGCACTTGGCTCCACCTACTCGGACGAAGAGTTCATTTCAGGGCAGGGAGTAATAGAAGAAACGTCTCCGCGATTGAAATTGAGACAACCCTTAATATGTGCCAAACGCAAACAAAGAATTATTTATCAAGAACTTACTTCGCTTTATCATCTGCTATAATACCTTTTGTTACTCTAATTAATTAAATATATTGTAGCAAAATGTCTCATAAAGGACAAACTACTCACTCAAAAGAGAAATATCATCAAATTCATGAAATATTTAATGTTAAAAAAATGCACATAAAGATAACGAAATAAGTACTTTTGTCACGTGATCGCCAACCTTATTCAGGATTGTTCACATCCTTCTTCCAAAAATAGCGAAATAATATCATTGGATACCACGTGATGAAGGCGGAGCCCAGCGCCAACTCTCGGCGAACAAACTGTACCAAAGTAGCGAGTTATTTTATATTGATCTACACAATGAGTAAAAATTGAATAATCGGTAGTATAAAGTATGCTTTTAAAAGGTAGGTACTTTATTTACGTCGTACTAGAATTGCACAATGGGCTATTGGCGACGGTCTAGGAAACATCCCTGAGGATGATCCGAAGACACGCCATCGCAAATTTGATCCTCTGCTTCCCTGATTTGATAGCCCAACTACCTGCGTGCGAAGTCGAGCACTATACAGTAGAAAAGTTTAACGAGGACCGATACCGTGTCCCTACGCAGGCTGATTGAAGTGGTCACTCACCCGCTTACTGACCGCAGCTAGTGATGCTTCGTTGTTCAACTGGAAACTGTGTCTTTACGATCAGTCCACTGCTGTGCGTGCTTTCAAGAGATTTCGCTAAGTTTCACCAACTCTTTCTACGCTTTTAGCGGTTTCAATTTATGATTCTTTGCTTAGACCCACTGAAATCAAAATTCATCAAATTCTGTGGAGGCAAAGAACATTTGACTTTAAAAAATGGCAATTTTCGGCATAGGTTGAAACAGACTTACGTAATATAATTTGCCGCCTTCAAGTAATTCATTGTGTAAATTTATTTTTCAGTTCAAAAAGAAAAATAAATAAGTAAATCTAGCCCCAATTATAACAAACAAACAAAAAAATTTCAAAGTTATTCACTGCTTAAACTATTCAACCGACACGGATGAATAAAAATCTGACTTCAGTTCAAAGAAATAAATAAAAAGTGGTAGTAAGATTTCATTTAAGCAATTCATTGAGTAAATCTACCAATCCACGCGGTGATGTAAATCTGACGTTCTAAACTGAACGAACAACTAAATATCTAATAGAAACTAAATATCCGTGGTAGTAAGATTTTCTTTCCTGAAATAAAAACTAGGAAAATTATCTTTTCTTTTTATCTGGCTATTTGATCTTGCCGTTATCAAATTTATGATCCAGATTTATTACTATGGAGTTGAACATTAGTAGTCGTAAACCCAAAAAATTGGGTCGGCTATTCAACGAGGTTATAAAATAAAATATTTTATGGCGAATGCAAATGATTTGCTTAGCACAGATTAAAGTGAATAATAAAATCATGTTTTTCTCACTAATTATTTTTTTAATCAAAATTACTTTATTTATAAAAGGCAACAATAAGTCAGTAGAAATCTGGAAACAAATTTATCCATTATAAATACTTATTAAGGCCCAATATTTTTTCATTGCAATGGTATAAAAAGTGATATATGAAAGGAATGATACTGAATAAATGATAGTAAATAAATAAGTATAATAAGTAATTATTTATCATGTAAGCTAGCACTTAATCTTAAAAATTAATTGCGACATAATTATAGATCGGAACTCAACGCTTTATATTAATTATCTTTCACCGTTGTAATGACTATATTCCATACAAATAATCACACCAGATTTTCATAATAATAAACTTAACTTTATTAAAAATTAAAAGAAACTAGTCATTATTTTTATATTCGAGCATCCAGCTCTTAAACAACCAAGGGAGAACCTCCCCGGACCAAGATAAACATACCTCTACCTCGATTCCTAGCATGCCCCCGAAGGGGTGACACAATGCGCCAAGTGCGCCTGAACGATCGCCAAACAGTTGCCAAACATTACAACCGTAACCACACACAATATACACTACCCTACATTAATGGAAGAGACACATTCAGTTTTTGATATTTTTTGAAAATTTCTCAAAAAATACTCGAAGGATTATTTTGTGACTTAAGAATTGTTTAGTTCCTGCGATTTTTCATTCTTAACATTAGCAATAGGATTTGAACTATTAGAGGATATGAACACCTACAATAAATTATGAAAGAAAAGAAGTATTTTTGAACACCCTAAGCCAGTTTGTAACTTGTATCAATTACTTTAGTTCTTACTTTTAATAACTGCATACAGTTTCGTAAACCTAGAGTAGATATTTATGAGGATATATATATATACTGGCTTCAGTAGTACATGTTACTGCCATCTACCGGCAACTGCTTAAATTAAAACTTGAATACTTTCGGAATAATTTCGCATATTCTTTTTTGCCATATTCGTCTTCGTTTTTAACTTTATAAATATTCATTGGAATTAAACAAAACTTTCCTAATAATATAAAATTAATAAAAAGATTGTTGGTTTAAAATTTTAAAAAAAAGTCGTTGAAAAATGCGCAAGATATAAGTATTTAAAGTACTTTTATACTGCGCATGCGTAGAAAAAATTTAAAAAAGTTTTTTCCATAATTTTGTAGTCAATCGTATTTGGCAACTAATAAAAAAAGCTTGATTTGAATATCTTAATAATTAAAAAAAGTTTAAAGCACTTTTCTGAGTAATTTTTTGTACTGTTTAAAAGAAAGCTTGAAACGATCAGGGGTTTGTCCACAAATTATATTTTGTATTATGAGACGAGACAAAATTTAATAACAAATGAACGTACTTACAATAATCGTTCGTAAGCCAAAATGTGTTGGTATAAGAAAAGAAAACATGCGAAGGAAAACATACTTTTATAGGGGATGATCCACCACAATGCTGGCCCTCATTTTTAATGAATCTTATTTAATAGTACAAAATGAAATTTGTGGAAAACCCTTATTTAACTGAATTAATGCTCTTTAAGAGATTTTTTTGACACATTTCCGTAGCACTTTACAGAATGAAAATTCCGCCCCACCGTTTAAAAGTTATAAGGGTTTCTGCTGACTTAATATTTGGGGAAAGACCTTTAGACAATGCCAACCTGCATCTATCAAAAAGTACCTCTAGTTATCATGTCTTATATACTAGTGAATTGATGTTCAATAATCATAGTAGTAGTTACACCACAATACTCCCCCACTGGAATTTTATCAGGGATATAATTCAATGAACGGATATCACTAGTTGCTGTATTTGTGAAAGATCGGGAGAGCTGGATTAAGGTCACTGGGTTTCGTGCTTAGCCATGAGAGCTATATTAAGTTCATGGTTGTGTGTGTGGTCACTCCTGTGTTGCTATTAGCAGTCGAGTGTATGCAGGATTCCGTTGTGTATATATGAGTATATGTATAATATATATAACAACGCTGTGTATATATATAACAGCGCGAGGAGCACGATGACGCAGTCACAAGTAGCAAGTCAACTATTCAATGTGGGCCATTCATCGAAGTAGTCGTGATCATATCACGTCCGGGTCACCAATGTGGGGAAAAGACCATTAGACAATGCCAACCTTGATCTATCAAAAGGTACCTCGTGACATGTCTTATTTAATAGTGATTTGATATTTAATAATCGTAGTGGTAGTTACGCCACAAATATGTGTCAAAAGTATACTTAAAAATTGTAATAATTTTATATTAATTCTGGAAACGTTGTATTTCAGAATTCGGTAAATCGTTGGAGGATTCAATTGCAAATGATTGTCAGAGCAAGTTCAAGCACATGCTTCTTCTAATATGCAAGGTTGGTTTTCATTTATTTTTCTCTCATTTTCTGAGGAGTGTTATTAGCAAAGTTGAACCATTTTTACGATAATTTTTTTAGGTCATTTTTTTAGTAGAAGCAATTCTCCTCCAGATAATTGGATAGTAGATGATTTTTTTTAATAAATTTATAAATATTTTTGTTTTGCATCCAAAATTATTTGTTTATTCATTTTAGCAATTTAGAATTTTTTTTTCTGAAAAAAGGTACTTTAGAATCATTATTTTATATTTCTCTCCTTATGTAAGTAAGCATGATAACCATGTTAATTTTTTTTTAATTAAATATTTAAATTCGGACTTATGCAAACAGTACTATATTAATTTCAATTTTTTTATGAGAGGATAATTTGTTGGAATTAATATTTTTTACAGTAATTGCTTATGTTATTGCTGAAATTGTGTACTTGCACTTCAAGAAGATCACAAAACTCACACATGCGACCTATGAACTCAGCTCCAGTTGATCGTTTATGAGCAAAATGGCATCTTAAAGTTTATCTAAGTTTCTCCCCGAGTCAAAATGTTAATTAGCTTGCAATTGATTAAATGCAATGCCGTATCTCACATCGAATTTATCGAAAATAACTCTTTATCGCCTACGTCTTTTCCTTAACTTAGATTTATTAGTTGTTCATGTATTTTATTGTAACAATAATAAATGTGTTTTGTGTACCTGGCAACTTCGATACATAATTAGTTTGTTTATATTCTACATGGCTTCATGCCTGTCATTGTGTTAAGTAAAAAATATGTAGTGAAAGAATTAAAATCTTTGTAAAAGAATCTTTGTGTAAGAATATAAATTATGCCACTTAAGAGAATTGAATTGGCTCTGCTTACTCGAAATAGTTACAAACGTAAACAAATGCCAAGTTTTAAGAACCAATCAGAATCGATATACTCACACTACGTCACTTGCAGGTATCCCATAGACTTAGAGCCCCTGAATTAGACAGGCCGACTTCTCATCTGTTTTTGCTCCAAAGAGCTAACATAAGCACAATACTAACCTAACGTTAACTTGCGAACTTTTTTGCTCCAATATTGCTTGATAGGTCAGCTCTGATAGTATAGGAGCCTTACATAGACTCGTCAAGTAAAGTCAAATACCACAGANGTAGGAATTCGGACTGATTTATGATGGTCTAACATAAGAATGGCAACTTGTTTTGATTGTTTGTTCATGTTGAGCCATGACGAATTTCCATCATTTTTTTTTGTCCCATTGACCACAGAAATGCCAGAACTGCTACTCTCTTCTCGTTACCCACTGGGCACCTGTGGCGAAGCAAGCCACTGCGGTGGAGCAGCATCGCCCACGTCACACAAGCACAAACACGTTTATAGGCGTTCACATTCACAAACAAAGAGGAAAGGACATAGAACACACAGAAAGAAAGAAACATCCATGCCCTGATCAGGATTCGAACCCGCTGCCAATGGCCCCGCAGTCAGACACGCTAACCACTCGGCCACCTGGTCTGCTGAATTTCCATCATAGTGTCTTAGAAAACAAATGTTGGAACGATCATGAACAACCACCATCCCAATGTAGGAATTCGGATTGATTTATGATAGTCCAACATAAAAAAACCCAAATTGTTCTGATAGTATATTCCTGAGAACCATCAAGAATTCCCATTAAACCATAATAGAAATGTATAGTTAAACCATCAAGAATCATCACGGATTTTGGTCCATGAAAATCAAACTTTTCTGGATGGTTCACCATGTTAATAGGTATTTAATATACTACCATGAAGGTTAACCAGCCATCACAGTATTAAAGTAGTATTTTCCATCATGGAATGATGGAAATTTGTATGCTTATCAAAAACCACGAACACGTAATGGAAATTGTTGGATGATGGTGACCATCAAATATTGTTGGACCATCATGAATAGCACTGAAACCAACATAAACCATCAAAAAAAAATTTTTCATGGGACCATCAAGAATTTTGACTTGCGTGATGCCATCGAAATATATATCACGTGTTCTAAACTGTCCCTCATTCATTTCGAAATGACCTGTCTGCAACTGGTGTCAGGTGATTTCGGATAAATATCAGCAGTAATCTAGCTCGGAGTCTTATCTTCGGTCCTGTCCAACTCTCCCCAGCTTCATAAGGAAAACATTGCACTTTAATTTTTTTCTCAATTTTTTTGTGTGTTTATTGCAAATCATTTATTTTCAATAGGCTGAAAGAAACGAAGGAGTTGTGTCACTGGATAAAGTTAGAAACGACGCAGAAGTCAGTAAATCTTTTCCTTCTTTTTTTTTTTTTACTTTTAAAATTAAAAACATTCATAATTATTTTTCAGCAACATTTATTGCAGGGTGTCTTCTCCCGCCTTTATAATGTATTTTTGAATCCAAGTCAAATTGCAAGCAACCGGGAGCATATTGCAACACAGAAGGAAAAAAAAACTCGAACTCATTTTTGAAGGAAACGGAACTCAGAGGCGCGACAGACCATAGAGGGCTCAGACCTACTGTGCCCATCTCAGCTTTCTTGACCATCGGTTCTGGGGTGCAGGCGCAGATGTTCCGGTTAGGTGGTACTCATTTATCGACCCACTGAAGGGATGAAAGGCTGAGTCAACCTTGTCCTCCCCGAGATCGAACCCAGAACCTGTGGCACGAAGAGCTACAATTCAGCCACCGTGGATTAAAAACCATTGATAAGACCGGATAAAACTGTTTCTATTAATCGAATTTCTCTCGCAAAGAGGTTTCGCGTTAAAAAGATTCACTATCTCTTTGTTAAGATTCCTCAAATTTTGATGCCGTTTCTATTTTTTCCTCTTTCTTAACCATTAATTTGTGACCCATCACACTGCGTTACTTTTGATAAGGATTCTAAAACTATACATTAAGGGCGGTGGTTGAGAAGCACTCGTAGAAAAAAAAAACATCAATACTAATTTTTTCTTCCTTCTTTGAATTGCAGGCGTTATTCGAAGCAGGTGAAGCTGAATGGGAAACGGACGAGGCAGCTTTTAACACGCTGTTTGCATTCGAGAGTTACGAACATTTGAGGTTTGTCTTCCAGGAATACGAGGACATCACTGGAAGAACACTTTCGGAAGCCATTGAAGCAGAGACAACGGGATACATGAAGAAAGCTCTTCTTACAATAGGTTTCAAAATATTTATTTATCTACCGCAGCATATCTTTACATCAGAATTTTTTGTATCGCGATATAGCATCAATAACACTGACATTTGATCACCAAAAAGACATGAAAGAACTCTTCTTACATTTAGTATCGAAACACTTTAACGAATTGTTCTGCTTTCCATTGTATCATATGTTTATTACATTTTAGCAGGCAGACTACATCAGAATTTTTTTGTATCACTGTATAGCATCAATAACATTGACATTTGATCGACAAAAAACATAAAAGAAGCTCTTCTTACATTTGGTTTCAAAATATTTTAACAAATTTTCCTGATTTCTGTTGTATCATATCATTTACTAAGTATTAGCAGTATAGCTACGTCAGAATTCTTTCTGTTCTAATTCATCGACAAAAAACGATGTGTTTCGAAATATTGAGAAAAAACACCGGAACATTTCTTAAAAAATGTTTTATAAAATAGTGTGAAATATCGTTAAGACATAACCAAAATATAGCCAAAAATATCGATATTTAGCAATACATATTACTCTTCAAACTACGATATTGGTGATATTTAATTATGCTAGATTATTATTTAATTGAACAGTATTTTCAAAGTAAACCATTTTTTTAAGAATTGTTTTAAGCTATTTTAATCACAATTTTAAAAAAAATGGCAGTGGAACTCGCACTGTTACGTTTCTGTTGTTGGTGCTTGAAGAATAATATCGTATTCAATATTTATCTTCATTGATTGGTCGTGAAATTAACGCTGTCGATAATCATTCGCATGCTCAATAATTTTCACAGCCATTCAAGAAACCCACTGTGGGAATACAATATAAAATACCATCATCTTGATTATCGCTCTTTCTTGATGTAGTGCGAAACTCTAGTAGAGATAGATTATAATAGTTATTTTAACATTTATTTGCACAATTTTTAATATTTTAATGAAATTTTAGGTCGAATAAAAAATGACCCACGAAATGAAAACTCTTTAAAGAAAAGCGGATGATGATAGAAATGTAATAATTTGCTGTGTTTTGCTTAGGAACCAAGAAATCTATGGTGGCGACTTTTCAATAATTCGCCAATAGATGGCGTCACTAACTGAGAAAAACTAAACTGCTTACTGCTACATTGTCAGACACTACATTTTAAATGATTACTAAGGTGTCTTTTAATTATGTCCTCCGAATGCACCATGTTTTTCAAAAATCAATGTTATGCAGTTTTCTCAGTTAACTGCGTTGTTGAAAAACTTTTCTTTAGGTAAATTTGAACGTGGGTGGAATTCAATAGTCGCTTCTGTGAGCAAAAGCAGTGCAAAACATCTCCGTTTTTCTTTAAATAGTTTTTCAAATCGTTGGTCGATTTTGCTCTACTCGGTACCATTTTGACAAAATTTCTAGTTAACTAGCAGCTTTTAACTAGGGTCTGAAATGTCTGGAAAATGAAAAAAAATTATTATTTATTTCTGATTTTTCCTTAATTGATTCATTAGTATACAATAAATGTAATTCTTTTTCCACCAAGTGATTAATTTGAATATTAATAGATTAAATAATCAGCCCCCACTCTGAGGGGGGGGGGATTCGGTAAATAAAATCTCGCCATCGCCCAGGATAGGACCAACCAAGTGGCCCTGTTGAGAAACCACCTGTGGCTTTATCAAAATCAAATAAAATATAAACTAATGGCAGCAGACACATACTCAATTATACGAACAATTTCTGCGTTACATTAATATTACTTTTATTAATAAACATATTCTACATTTGTTCCCAATTTATGATTGATAACATGGGAAACCGATAAAACTAAACAATACAAAAGAAAGATTCGGCAATACAAAAGAACGAAATGAACTATACAAACTAATAAATGTCCTAAGCAGGGCTTTATAGTGATTAGTTAAGAGCAGCCCCAACATCTAAGTGTTTCATATTGGATCTAGCCCCAGCATAGTAGTCTACCAAAACACACAAATCAAGTTAAAATCAGAAGTAAATCAATAAAAATCCCAAGTGCTGGTGACAATATATAAATTAATCAGAAAATTAAAATCAGGGTTAAAACATCAGATATATAAATAGTAAAACATTAAGATAAAGTAATATAAAACAAGAGTGATTCGCTATCGCAACGCTCGAATACGCCATCTCGTACTAACTATAGATTTTTTTTTCCAGTGTATTTGCTATATGCACCTTTGTAGTAGTATCAAGTTTCTGAGTCTTACAGTTCTTGCGCAACTAAGCAAAATATTACGTTGAATAGCCAAAACAGTATAGAGAGAAAAATAAGCCTTATAAAGGAAAAAAATTAACTGACTTTAAATAAATTCGTATTTAGATACTTAAATTCAGCAACGTTAGTTTTAACAAATAAAACTCTTATTTTATATTTGGACCATTATCATTATCACCATAAACCAAATCACATACCATATCATACCAAATCATTATCGCTTTAATATTGTCAAAATCTGAGGGGACGTGTCATCAGAATTTCAGATTAAATATATACATGCCCGATCGGACTTAGAGGGTGAAAAACTCTTGTCGGATTTGGGTTCTTAAGGTGCTTGGCAGCAATTTTTCAGTCCCATTTAGCTGTACACATGCTTCGGACTACACGCGTTTTGAACAAAATAGAAATTTTATAAATATACACATTTGATTGCTTTTTGAAAATGTTTTAATATGAAACCAGCGTTATGTTGCATATGCTTAAAACTTCTTCAACAAAATAAGAATTTTCATAAAAATTTATAGACGCATAACTTTTAAGTCCATATTTTAATATGAAATTAGTTCTAAACGCATTGCAACAAAAGTAACGACAAAAAGTATCGATAGCGTTTAATTAATATTGTTTTCAGTACATTTATCATGGAACTAATCTAATTAAATGTATTTTTTCAGTGCGATGTGTAGAAAACACCCCCGCTTATTTCGCCAGAAAGTTATACAGAGCCTTAAAAGTAAGTATTATATTCTTTTTTTTTTAATGGTTGGCACTGGGATCTATTTCCCATTGGCTTCAGATATGTCAGAATTGCTACTCTAAGGACCGAGGATGCGCGGTATCGGTCCTTGTTAAACTGTTCTATCGTAAAGTGCTCAAATTCGCGCGTAGGTCGTCGGGTTACTAAAGCAGGGGAGCCATCCCCTCTGCAGGAGATCAAAATTGCGATGGCATGTCTTCGGGTCATCCTCAGGGATGTTTCCCAAACCGTCGTCAATAGCCCAGGGAAACAGCATTTTTACAAAATATTCAAGAAATAGAAGCAAGTGATACCAAGTGAAAAAAATTTGGATAACCAATTTTAAATCTCGAAATACTTGAAATTCTACTTATTTAAAAAGGCAGACCAGATGGTAGCGGTTAGTTAAACATTCAAGAACTCTCGTTAATTGGAATCTATGTTCGTTGTAGCAAAATAACAAACTGATTTGACATTAGTGAGGGTAGATTCTTGTTTTAAAATTTTTGAATTTCAAAGGTTTTGGTTATCATGATATACAAATAATTCAAATCTTTTTTTTTTTAAAAAAAGGGTTTGTCTCTGCTGCAACTGTACTGTAGTCGCTTGTTACCAATAAAACCAATTATTAATGGACGTAGAATAATCTTCCAGTGTAACTTAGTTTGGATGCAATAAAACTGTAAACTAGCAAACAACATGGATGTTTCCTTTTAAATAATGGAAAACGCAGAATTTTCTGCAGTTTAATTTGCAATAATGTGTAATGATTAACAAATAACGAGAACCTTTTCCCCATATCTCTCCTAAGCATATTAATTAAAAATTTTGCTTAATTTTTAGGATCAGGGGCTGAAATTGACCCTTGCATATACTGTCCGAATTTTATGATTTTGGTATTAAAAGAAACACAAGCAATCGTTTCTATTATTATTATGATATTCTTTATTTTAAAGTTAAGTCGCAAAAACCTACACGGGAATCTCAAATTAATATAAAAGTGCAAAAAAGTTACTTCGAATATTACCAATAATCTTTGTAAAAAAGAATAGGTATCTCAAAGTTGCCCAATTTTCCTTTTTCCATTCTCCGTTACCATGATTTCGTCTAATCTTGCTCCTTCCCAACGCAGTAAAAAGTTGGAGTATACTGTAATTCAGTAAAAAGTAAATTTTCAGTAAAAAGTTGGAGTATACTGTAATAGCGTAAGGAAAAAAAAAGGAAGATTTGCCGAAACCATGGTAACGGAGAAGGGGAAAGTGGGAAATCATGGACATTTATTCTATTTTCAAAGAGTAATACAATTTCTTCTCAAGAAGACGGTATTAAAATGATCAAAAACCATTGCCTAATAATTCGTAGTTTCTCTCTTTATTTTAATTTCATTCGACCCACAACAAATGGATTTTTATAGTATCTTACTTTTAAGATGATTAAATTCGACAATGATTCATCGAGTTTTAATCATATTTCGAAGGAGTGTTTAAAAATATGTTATATTAAGGTGCTTAAAAATATGCATCTTAAACATGTATTGTTTCTAGGGCCCAACGAAGGATGACAAGTCTCTAATTCGTATTGTTGTCAGTCGCTGTGAGATTGACATGGTATTCATCAAAACTGAATATCAAAAGAGATTTAAAGAACATCTGGAAGACACAATACGGGTAAGATTCTCATACTTTTTGCAATATTTTTTAAAAATTTAGTAGAAATTAAATAGTTTCAAAATTTTTTGTTTTTTCCAAGCGGGGAATAACTACATGTTCTCTGTAAATATAAAAGGTATCCCAAGTCAAAATTCTTGATGGTTCCATCGAAACATTTTGATGGTTTATGTTTGTTTCAGAGTGATTCATGATGGTCCACCATCATTTGATGGGCACCATCATCCAACATTTTCTATTATGCGTTCATGGTTTTTGATATGCTAACAAACTTTCATCATTCCATGATGGAAAATGCTACTTTAATACTATGAAGGTTAACCGTCAAGAAAAGTTTGGTTCTAATGAACCAACAATCCATGATGAATCATGATGGTTCCAACTATACATTTCCATGATGGTTTAATGGGAATTCTTGTTGGTTCTGTGGAATGTACCATCAAAACAATTCGTTTTTTTTTTTACTTTTTTTTTATGTTGGACCATCAAAAATCAGTCCAAATTCCTATATTAGGGTAATGGTGGTTCATGATTGTTCCAACATTTGATTTTTAAGAAACGGAATGATGGAAATTTGGAACCGTGGAAATATGATGGAAATTTCTGATATTTCAACATGAACAACCATCATGAAAAGTTGCTATTCTAATGTTGAACCGTCATAAATCAGTCCGAATTCCTAGCTTGGGGTGATGGTTATCTATGTTGGTTACCATCAAAAAATATAATGATTCATGATGGAATTATTGATGGTTATCGTCAAGATTATGTTGGTCTCAATGGAAAACCATCAAAATTTTTGACATGGGGTCTCAATGTTACGCAAGGTATCCAGCTCTCCATACTTTCCCCTTCTCTATTATTATTATCGGTTCAGAAAATTTTGCTTTTCCCCACGCCAGTTTATTACAACTTATTATTGATATGTACTACCATGTAGGGAAAAAGCGAAATTTGCTCCAACCATGTTAACATAGAGGGGGAAATGAATCGAGTGTTGAAATCGTGTCACCTTGAGGCGCCTATAATATTTACTGAGGGTGGGCGGGGAAAGCCTGGTTAGTAGGGCGTTGGACGCGTGTTCGTGAGAGCTGTGATTCGCTGGTTGAAGAATAACCATGCATTAAATGGTGACTGGTGCACGTTAAACCTGCCGAGGACACAAAGTCCTCCAAGTTTCAATATCAAATCAATGCTGAATTGGGTGTACTGAATTGGAGATTGATCGTTTTCTGTTTAAAAATTACGATCTGTGAATGAATTTATAGGTGTATAATTGGGTCCGCTTTGNAATTAATATTACATAATAATTATAATCAATTTGTAAACAAAGTTTACAAAGACATGCGACGGGGATTTGAAGGAAATTTTTTGATTACTTTTTTAGGACAAACCGGAATATTCCGAAATATGCTTAACACTAAACATACCATTACTTAATGTATACCTATTATACTACCATAGCCGGTCAAATAAACGGACTTCTTCATTGAATGTATGAAATATGGATCTTAGGAAGGAAATAAACTAAAAAAACTTTATTATAATTATACAAAATTGTATGTTGACAATTTTTATGTATTACAAACACAAAGAATAAGAATTTTTAATTCATTGCTCAACGCATTTTTTACATATATAGAGCGGTTCCATTGTACATTTTCAGCAAACATATTTCTTCCAATTATTATTATTTTTATAATTATAAGAACATATAAGAATTATCATTCTCATGATTAATATTATTTCTTCTAAGAACTTGACTGTTTTGATTGTTTCGACCTTTGTTCGACATTTTTCTAGGTAAAAACTAACAGTTATTCAGAAATGAAGTAAAGCTATCAAAATAAAATATAAGCTACTTACCAAAACTATTAGTTTTCGTAATTTTTTCTTATACAGAAATGTCAATCATCTAAAATTTTGATATTTTCTTGAAATTATTCTCAGCTATTTTGATTGAAATACTTTACGCAACAGTCTTTGTAAAAATGTGCAGCATACCGACTACAGTACAGGGCTGAAAGACCATATATATCGAGACGGAAAACAGTAAAAACTGTTAACAAATAAATTTTTTGGTTTCTTTCCCAGAATAATAAAAATCCGTAACTAACTATTGTTTTTACGGATGCAATTTTTATATTGAATTGCTTCTTCGCCGTGAAAAATTTCCTTACGGTGAATTGTTATTGTTGATAATAATAGATTAACTCCTCCCGAATATTATCTAATATTGAAATAGTTCTACCAGTATTTTCTCTTTTCCGTCCAGCTTTTAGGCCTGCGACAATACGATAAGCAATCTGTATCGATAAGCTTATAAAACAAAAAATGTTCTCAGGGTCAAATGACCCGATGTGGTAGACAACAGTATACGACAGGTATTACTTAAAATAAACAAAACCAAAAAAAATTATATAAAAATAGTATAAGAACTGTAGATTAATTAGTAATAAAAAGTCAAATTTGCAGAAGTAATAAAATGATACGTGCATTTTCGATGCATAAGTTCAAAATGGGTCAATTGATCCGTTGTGGTATTATTAGTGTTAATAAAGTTAGTTAATAAAAGGTTTGATTCGACAGTTTTTGTTTTTCTTTTTACTGAGAGGCTCAAAGAAAGAATAAAAAGTTTGAATCCCAGAATTTCGGGGGGAAGGGGATTTGTCCCGACGGTCCCCCCACCTGGCTACGGGCCTGCTCTCCGTAAATATAAAAGGTATCCCAAGTCAAAATATGTAAATTGTATCCCATCATCCAACATTTTCAGTTATGCGTTGATGGTTTTTGATTTGCTAACAAACTTCCATCATTCCATGATGGAAAGTGCTATTTTAATACTATGAAGGTTAACCGTCAAGAAAAGTTTGGTTCTCATGAACCAACAATCCATGATGAATCTTGATGGTCCATGACGGTTCCAACTATACATTTCCATGATGGTTCAATAAGAATTCTTGTTGGTTCTCAGGAATCAAAACAATTCGTTTTTTTTTAAAAAAAATTTTTGATGTTGGATCATCAAAAATCAGTCCAAATTCCTATATTGGGGTAATGGTGGTTCATGATTGTTCCAACATTTGATTTTTAAGAAACGGAATGATGGAAATTTGGAACCGTGGAAAATATGATGGAAATTTCTAATGGTTCAACATGAACAACGATCATGAAAAGTTGCTATTCTAATGTTGGACCACCATAAATCAGTCCGAATTCCTAGCTTAGGATGATGGTTATTTATGTCGGTTACCATCAAAAAATATAATGGTTCTTGATGGAATTATTGATGGTTACCATCAAGATTATGTTGGCCCATCAATGGAAAACCATCGAAAATTTTGACATGGGGTCTCAATGTTACGCAAGGTATCCAGCTCTCCATACTTTCCCCTTCTCTATTATTATTATCGGTTCAGAAAATTTTGCTTTTCCCCACGCCAGTTTATTACAACTTATTATTGATATGTACTACCATGTAGGGAAAAAGCGAAATTTGCTCCAACCATGTTAACATAGAGGGGGAAATGAATCGAGTGTTGAAATCGTGTCACCTTGAGGCGCCTATAATATTTACTGAGGGTGGGCGGGGAAAGCCTGGTTAGTAGGACGTTGGACGCGTGTTCGTGATAGCTGTGATTCGCTGGTTGAAGAATAACCATGCATTAAATGGTGACTGGTGCAAGTTAAACCTGCCGAGGACACAAAGTCCTCTAAGTTTCAGTATCAAATCAATGCTGAATTGGGTGTACTGAATTGGAGATTGATCGTTTTCTGTTTCAAAATTACGATCTGTGAATGAATTTTATAGGTGTATAATTGGGGCCCCTTTGTAAAAACGGGCTGTGAAGTCGTATTCTTGGCCATAGATGGCGCCACTGAAAGACAAAAACGTACACTCTGTCTTAAATCATAGCTTAAATTCGCTTGGTTTCCCAAACAGGCTTGTTAAAATGGCTAAATGTATGTAGTTTAAAGTAAATATACTAAAATATATATAGTTTAACGTAAAAGAACATTCTTAGTGTTTCACTATACACCACTTTCATTTAAAGAAATTGCTGCCATTTTTATTGTTAAGATACGCTTAAAGTTTTAACAGTGTATCATAAATTTGATAGAAATGACCAAAAATCTAAAGTGACAGGGTTAGTAATAAATGAGGAATAATAATTTTTACTTGAAATAAAAAAAAACAAGGTTATGAATGGAATAATGTATTCGTTAAATGGCTTTATTGACCCTTTCATAAATTGTCTTAAAAAGGTTGATCTGGATATACTATTCTGATAATTTAAATGGAAAAATCACATAATTAAGGCATATAAGCTGTCAACATTGCGAAAAGTATTACCCTAAAATGAAAACGCGCTTCTCCTTCGTTAACTTTCAGTAACTCTGAAGGTTTTTTTTTTACTATTTCAAATATTTGGAAAAAAAATATTTATAAAATTTTTTTTTTTAACAAATGAAGCATTGTTTGAAGAAAAAAAAATAACGGCACTAATTTCTTAAAAAAAAAAAAAAGATTTTTAAAACCTTAAACCTACCTTTATTTAAAGACTATTTTCTGGGCCATCTTAATTTTAAAGACTTCATTTAAAACCTTTTTTTGAGAACTATTAATATTCAATGAAACAAACAAAAACTTCCTTTTTAAAAAATTGATGATACAGAGAAAATAGTTTAGATTGTTTTAAAAATTAGTATATTTCTTTCTTTTAGGGAAATGAACCAGAAAACTATGAAAAGTTACTCATGGCTTTAGTGACGTTAGACAAACAGAAGAAGTAACTACAAAACCTTCTACTTTTCCTGCTTTTTCGTGTATTTCTCAATAAAATATTTTTCTTTCATTAATCCAAATGTCAGAATTATTTATATCTGAATTATGCTGATGATTAAATGACTATTACGAGATATTTTCGCAAATATTATTTCGGTAAATCTTGGATTTTAATATAAAAGTGTTTTCTTTCAGTATTTGTCTAATTGTTTAATAATTCACCTAATAAGGTACTGAGATATGTATAATCGTAACAATTCACATCCAAATTGTCTTAATTATTAAACCAATTGTTTTCATTAATTTGGGAAAATAAAAACGCACTTTGAATTAACATACTCTTTTTGTCTTATTCAGATTCCTCAAACCATGATGGAAAGTCCTACATAAGTTAGAATGTTAATTAATGATAAGTTAATTAAATACTGAGCACATCGAATTAGTTGAAATATGGTTCTTTCTTGTCTATGTCTTTTACTTAACCTAGATTTATAATTTGTTTGTGAATTTTTTCTAACCGTGATATATTTTTGTTTTGTGTACCTAGCAACTTTGGAGCACAATTAGTTTCCTTATGTTCCACATGGATTCGGGCCTGTCCTGTGTTAAGTCTCTGTGTAAATATGTAGTGAAATAATTGAAATCTTTGAGAAAGAATCTTTGTGAAAGAATTTAGAACGTATCACTTAAGAGAATTGATACTTGAATGGCTTGGCTTAGAATGGAAGGAACAATTGCTGACGTATACGAATGCCACGTCTCAATAACCAATCAGGAACGAGATTTCCATACTACGTCACATTGTGAATTTAAAACTTTTTACGCATTCTTCATTCATGTTAACTACTTTTGCCGTTTGTTGTCATGTTCAAATAACGCACAACCGGGGGAGAGGCGGAGGGGGCTTTAGCGCCCTCATATTTTACAAATGAATTGATACAGCCCCTTTTAAGACTAAAATTTTCCACTCAGTATTTGTGTAATTAAGTTTACAATAGAAAATAGATAATTCTTTTTGTGTCTAATAAAATGCTAAAAAAATTTAAATGATGACTTTCTAAAAAAAATGTAGAAATTCAAGTGAGCTTTTACATTTCCTTGGCGAAATTTGTTTCCAAATAGTACCTTATTCATCCTCCCGCACAGGAAATATACGTCTCTGTAGCTGACAGATAGGGAAAGTCTTGATTTCAAATGTCCCAGCGAACATAATTTAAAAAAAAAAAGTGAAACAGTATAAAAGAAATTACCGTAAAATGAGATATAAATAATTTACCGGTAGACAATTTCTTTCATTAGTTTTATTTTAATTTCAAAACAATTCGAATCATTTAGTTAAAATTGCAAGTACGATTTTTTAATTGTCATCTTGCTACCAGTTTCAGACAATTCGAACTAATACTAAACAATAGTTCAGTTTTATATATATATATATATATATATATATATTCACACAAATTTAAAACTTCTTACACATGATTATATAATTTCATATTATTCTCTTTTTTCGTTCTTTTCATATCTTTAAAAGTAAAACTAATTGCCCGAATTGAAAATTTCTTACAAATATCAAACACACTACAGGTTTAATTCTTTCTTATCATATCTTTATACATAAATTTCTTGAATTTGAAATTTTTTCATACTCTAATAAAATTTATTAATCTAAAGATAATTTCGGCGATTAGCAAAAATTCTTTTTTGCATGACATTTTATAAGAAATATTAATAAAATAAAATGAATTAATGTCAGTTACTATAAGTCAATTGGTACAGAAATATTTTATCTGCAAAAGAAACGAGCGAGCATAATGGAGAGAAAAAAAATTATGTTTCTAATTTAATTTCGTTCTCTCTTTCTCCTGCGAGAACCAAACGCAATCCTTGATAAGAGCAGACAATAATAAAATACTCTTAAAACAAAAAAAACCGTTTAGAATTCTCTAAGAGCTGTTTCGTAGCCAAATGAAAGAGAGTTGGCGAAAATTATAGGGAAAATAATTCCCTAAATGACAACCCTTCTCGACCATGGCCGACTTTTTTGTGTTTGATTACGGAACATGTGCGATTATCCACAAATGTTTCTCTAGTAGCGTAAACATGACGTTGCCCCTTTTTTTAAAGAAAAAAATCACGTGTTTATGAAGACGAGATTCCAAACGCAGTGATAACGTTCAGTGGATTATGATCTGTCCAAAGTGTCGATAACTTTTTCCAGGATTTTTATCACAACCTAAATAAACTTTTTTTCATCAGTTGAGTCGAATAAATTGATCGAAATAAGTATGTTTTATTTTATGCGGTGTTGAATTAAGTGAATAATCATGAACTGAAATTTGTTCGTCTTTTCATATATTCTCTTTCGCTGATTCGTTTTGGGTTCCAATGACGATTGATACCCTAAAAATGGGTACCGTCGAGGAACTTAAGAATTTCGTGGAGAAACAGGAGGGTATAATAAATCATTTGAGTCTTTTACTCCAAGACAAAGATGAGGAAATCAGACAATTAAAAAGTTTGCTAGATAAATATCAGTCTGTACTGCCTTCTGTACCGAATAGATACAGCCATACTGCACCCCGGAAAGTAAGGGCTCAGGGTATATCCGCTGAGCCTTTGACTCTAAAATCAATTCAAGATCTTGTTAAAGCCAAATTCTCCTATTATCCTAAGTCAGAGAGGTAAGTTGATTTTTCAATAGATTTTTTTTTCGTCACAGTGATAATTAAATATTCTGAAACTTGTTGAAAATCATAATATTATAGGTCTAAAATTAAGAAATTTTGCGAGTGGTCAGTCACAGCATTTTTTACAGTGGCCACTTTTTTTTTAAAAAAAAATTCGAATATTTTAAACGATTAAGGATTTTAATAATGGGGGGCATTTATTTGGGGGTAGTTCACAAAATATGGTAATGCTAGGTTCATTTCTAAAATGAAGTTTTTTTTCTTCTTTTTTTCTTTTCTTTCCTTTTTTTTTTAAGAAACAAATGTGTGAATGTAATTTTTTAGAATATTATAAAACATTTATAATATTTCCAAATCCATTAAAAAATAAGAATAAAATGTAGTGTATTTTCGACGGGAAAAAAAAGTGAAAATTGTTTGATCACAAATTTACTCACTCTGTTGTCGGTGGTGACCGTTAATTTTCTCCAATATTTATGCAACCTTAATTCGGTGCTAAATTGAACCTCATCATTATCATTCATCATTAAAGTTGTTAAACAATCACATTTTATTTCACGCAGAATATATTGCTTAAAGTAAATATTTTCCCAATATAAAAGTACTAGTAATCCAGTAACTAATTTAAAGTGTACTTAATTGTCCATTGATAATGATCTTTTGACTGGATGCAGGTAGTTTTGCACTGATGTAGTCCCCTTTTTGCACTGATGCATTCAACCCCCCTTAGTAACGTTGCAGCATAATGTGGTACAAGATATCGATAGTGTGGTCCAACGTTAAGTGGATTTTTCTATAAGTGTGCAATATGCTCAATGCAAAAAAAAAAAAAAAAAAAAAAAAAAAAAAAAAAAAAAAAAAAAAAAAAAAAAAAAAAAAAAAAAAAAAAAAAAAAAAAAAAAAAAAATCAACAATTAAATGGAGAATAAAATTTTTTATACAGTAAAGCATTGTTCAGGTTCATTTATCGTCGTTTTCGAACAAAATATAATCAAAAACTATTCAATTATGCATCCTAACTCTGGATGTTAGTACTCTAGTCTGCTGGGTTACGGGTTTAAAAGTCTTGTCTTATTCTTTATGAAAAATTCAATATTAAATTTTTAAAAAAATTACAAATTAATAACTAATCTGTTTATTTATTAGATAATAATTAAATAGAAAAAAAATTTAAATAAACTTTTACAAAAACAATCACATAAAAATTTGATTCATTTACATATGTTCGGTTTCTGAACTGCCAGAGAGTGACATGTGACAATGAGTCAGGAAAAGTGCGACTTCATTAATGAAAGGCGAATTAAAATTAACTACGTCAATGTTTACCTGCTGAATTTCGAATTAAAAAACAGTAAATTAGTCTTTACCTGTAATTGTAAATTAATTGTTAGACAGAGAAAAACGAGTAGGAAATCTCGGAAAGAAAAACATCGAAAGTAATCGGATATTATCCATAGTAAACAAAACGAAAAGTGACGAAATCACATATAGCAAAAAAAAATGTTTGTAATGGAAGCAGGTGTCGTCAATTGACACACGTTGTCATCACTTATTCTTTTTTTTCTTCTTACTAGTTTATTATTTATGAGTGAAATAAGAATTCTTTTCTTCACTTCTGCTTTTGAACCTGTTGCTACAAACTTAAAAAAATTGCGATCATATTGAAAAATCAAAAAGCTGTCAAAATATTATCCATCAATGTACACCGGTGTAATAAATTGAGAGAATTTGCAGACTTGGTCGATTATCTATAGATTTAATGGAACGGTTTTTAATGAAAGTTGATATGTACATACATTGATACAATACAAAAAAAAGGAAGAAAAAAAATAACCATGCAACAATTGTAATAGACACGCATGATCGTGCGTAGCACTTGTTCGGGTCGGAAGGTATGAAACAGCGGTTGCAGAATGAGCAAAAAAAAAAAAAAAAAAAAGGTTAATAGGGTCTCCTCTTACTGATATACAGGCCTTGCAGCGTGATTTCATACTTGAAATATGGCCTGAATTGTCCTGTAGCAATTTCATACCTTCCGATTTCAACGAGTGTTACACGCACGATCACGCGTGTGTATTAGAATTGTTGATTGGTTATTTGTTTTGTATTATATCAATGTATGTACACGCGAAATTTCCTTAAAATCGGTCGAGTAGTTCTTGAGATAACTGACCAAGTCTGCAAATTCTCTTAATTTCTTACACTAGTGTATTTACATTACGGAATCAGTCTCATATCTGAAAAAAGAAACATCCTTTTTTTGACGGAATTGCACTTTTTATTCTCAAAATTGGACGTGGATAACCAAACATATTTTGCACATTGGAATTGAATATGGAATCATATAAAAAGGCCTAATAAAATACTAACATTTCAACGTTTAGACC